CGGAAGAGCCAAGCAAGGTCACCCTGACCTCCATGTGCTCTCTCTCCAACGCTGCATGCTGATAACCTGGGCTCTCCCCTATTGACTGTGCCCTGCAGGAGAAAATACAGTCACCCACGTGCTGGAAGCTAGGTATGCTTGTCCCTGCTGCACACCGAGTGCTGCTAACCTTAGCCAAGGTCACGGCGATGGGCCGGTGTCGCCTGCCTGCACGTGCTGCTGGGAGGGAGCTGGGGCTGCTGCAGGAGAGCACAGGGCCCACCACCGTGGGGCACAGCATCAGCCCACACCTCTCAGAGGATCTCCCCGTGAATCATCCTGAAAATGCCATTTCCCACCAGCAGAAGGAGAACCAGGGGCTTGGAGAGTAAGGTGACAGGAGCAGGGCAGGGCAGTGAGGTCCCCGTGACCCCAGCAGACCCTGCTGGGCTGCAAGTCCCTTGATGCAACATACCACGGCACGAGCATCGCTCAGCGGGGAGGTCACAGTGCAAATGCTGCTCCCCAGAATGACCTCAGCACTGCCCGACAGGAGGGAGCAGCGTGAAACCCCGAGCTCACAGTGAGCCTCACAACAGCTCACAGTGAGCCTCCCCAGGGGGGGATACGGTGCTCACCCCCCCCAGCAGTGCAGACACAAGGCAGAGTCATCTCTGCTCCTGTCATTGCCCGACAGTGGGGGCTGAGGGGATGCCAGTTCCAGCTCTTCTGCTTCATGCTTTCCCTCTCTGTGCTGCACACATCTTCCGAAACGCATTTAGTTTGCGTGAGGTAAAGGCAAAATACCAGCCGTCCCCCAAGAGACTGCTAATCTAATCAGCAGAATGAAGCAAAGACAGTCTGGGGGAGAGGTTTGCAAGAGATCTGAGGTCCTGGTGTGGCCACAGATTTCCTCTCTGTGCCGTGGGGGTGGGGACAGGAAATATCACCTTGTGTGGGGCACGCACCCAAAAGATTCCCTGACCCAAAAGAGTCGCCAACGCACTTGCAGCAGCGGGGAGAGGGGCCACGGGAGAAGGAGCACCCAGGAACAGAGGACCGCTGATCCCAGGACACCTACTTTTATCAAGCTGTTTGCAGAGGTGATAGCCCTGCCGCTGCTGGCTG